TATGTGCTTTGAAAAGCACAGCTTTAAAGCCTCTTTTTGAATTTCAAGCTCCAGCATTAAAACCACCAAAACAATTATTAATTAATAATGAAGCAAAGGGAGGGTTTCCTTTCGTAACACATCTTTTCTTCATGCCACCTGCTAATTCAAAAGAATCTATTCTCTTTCCCTTTGTTGGTCTCCTTTTATTATCTTCAGTTTTGTTTCCCTGCATTTCTCTGACCCTACAAACTTGCTTCTGTGTTTCCCTTTCACTGCATCTTCCCCTGAGCTAGGCTTAATAATTGCTTTTTCTTGCAAGCTATCTTCCCCCGCTCCCCCAAAAGTGCTAAATGAGCGCTTTTAATGGCAGGTAAAGACATAGTTCTTTCAATCATTGTAGCTGGTACACAATAATGCATTAAAATCTTGATTTTTTTGTTAAAAAAATCTGAATACAACGTAATCTAGGATTAAGTGTACATATGAAGATCTGTAAATATAAGCTATCCATTACTGAATTTTAAATTGGAGCCTTCTAAAAACAGGATGTGAGCAATTTGTAAAATGACTTCAGCGATTTTTCCTCATTCACTTTAGCTCCCCAGCATCTACAGACCATCCTTAGGAAAACAATTTCCATTTAACTGACATGCAACAACAGCAACAAAAATAATGTTGCTTGTGTATGCGGAATCTCAAATAAATACAAATGAAATGGAAAAGGATTTTGATATATGACCACCAATTCTGAGATAGAAACCTCATCAAAAGAAGTACTGCATAAAACCATGACACAACAGATGCAGATCATTACAAAGAATGATTTAATAAGATGATGTGTATTACCAAAAAAGCAGCTGGCTTTTCATCCTCCAATACTTCCTTGTTTTGCTAAAGCAAATGCAAATAGCCATTAACAGCAATTTCTTATTTCAGTTATATAGGCAGAGAGGAGCTAAACCGAAGTGAAAAAATTCCATGCCTTTAGGATAATAAAAACAAAAATCTAAAGTTTCACTCAAGCCTTACAAGACCAGAGCTCTTCATCAGGATTTACCAGTCTCCCACCCACCCCCCCAGCAACATCCCCAGCTGCTCCGACCAGTCAATGGAGCATTCATAGTTTTCATTCCCCTCTGCTTCCCTTTTACAGAAAAGAGAAACTGAGCAGTAAGGCCAATATCCAGTTCTATCACCTGTTGGTTTATGCTAAACAGCTATTTCCCTTGTTCTGAAGGGGCCCAGGCTCACAGAGGTATAAGCCCAGTCAGTCCCGCACTCCACCAAATGAGCCAGGAATGGTGCTGCACAGGGCTGGTCACAGG